TAATGGAGCACCAGAAATCTTAAAAAAAAAAAAAAAAAGATGCCTGATTTATTCTGGACCAGCATGAATGGTATTTTTAGTACTGAAATATCCGAAAGGAAAAACTGCCGGAGGGAAATGCAAAGAATAAAGGGCAAGTAAAACGTGAAGGACCTGGAGCTACCAGTTGTTAACAGAGTTTGATGCTATGCTATTTGACCAGAATGTACCTCTAAATACTGGCTTTCATTTGACTCGCTGAGCATCTTTTTTTGACAGACTGGTAAATGTGGGTTAACAGTTTGATGCTATGCTATTTGACCAGAATGTACCTCTAAATACTGGCTTTCATTTGACTCGCTGAGCAACTCATTTTGTGACAGACTGGTAAATGACGGGATAGTGCAGTTTATTCTCAAGAATGTGAGTTGATATGAGACTAACCCACCATTAGGCATTTGCTTGTCAGCTCAAACAGGCTTTTATTTAGTGCCTTTATTCAAAAGAGTGAGTAAGTAAATGATGACAGGCAAATAAAGCCCTCCTATGGTAAAAACTAAAAATTAAAACTCCAGTGGATGCTAAGGGATTCATTTTTCATGGTGTTAAAATACAATGGGCATATTCACCGTTGTTCTTTTAGCATTGTAAATTCATCTATGTCTGAACATAAAGGTAAAATCCTTAACACCTGTATTTAATGAGTTTGCCCCCTTGTTTATTTTAAACCTATAAAATTTCTAGAGAGATGTGTCTTGGCAGCCTGTGGGGGTGGGGAAGGAGATGCTAAAAGCATTCTGTTTGTGAACAGAAAATAGTCTTAATTCAAAACATAAAGTGTCATAATTGTTCTAAAGCAAGAGCTGCACTCAGCCTGTCATGAGTTAATGCCAAAGTCATTTCTGTAGCCACTATTCAAGGGAGGAGAGAAGACATCTTAATTAAACTCCGCCTTTGTTGAGGACATCAGAAAAGCTACTGACAGAGTGTGCATGCTAACTGCAATCATGCATCCTGCTGTTGCCACTGACAAGGAAAAAAAAGCAATAAAAGCGGGCTGCAAGTGGCTGCTGTCACGCAGGTTGCTGTGGAAGAGAGGCTTGAGAAGCTGTCGCTTTGTCCCTTCTGTACAATGTCTTTGAAGTTTTAGCGACAACCTGTAGCAACTACAAGTCGGAATAATTCTGTCCATGGTGGGGCATTGCAGACTTGTCACGCCGAACTCTTCAAAATCAGAACTCAAGGTGCAAAATAAGATCAATAAACATCATTAGGAGATGTTGAACTGTCCTTTCATTTTGATCCATGGTGAAGTTTGCTCTTTTGGGTTTTTTTTCCCCTGCAGTCAAGGTGTTTAAAATTAAATAGAAACAGTATTTTTCACATAATCACCTCACTGTGGTGGCTAGGACTTTAAGAGAATTAGTAGCAAAATATCTATAATAAAATCATGAGAGCTGGGAACTCTGTGGTGAGGTGTCTGCTCTCATCCTGTTCGTTTGTGTTTTATTATTTTGCTGTATTCTCTTGCCATTCCCTTTATCTTTCATGTGGGAAGAAAAAGGCATGTGTGGGGTGTAAAGGGTAAGAGTAATTGCTGGTCTGCCTACCTGTATCACTGCAGTGGGAGTTAAAAAACATAATGTATCCAGTGCACCTGTGGACAGGCAGCATCAGTCTTCTGCTGGTGTTTCTGGGCATTGCTGGTCACTCCTGCTTTCTAGCAGACAGTAAAAGAGCAAAAGTGTGGTCAAGAAGGATATGAGAAACTAGTTTGTAAAGCTTCTGAAGCTAAGACTGTTCCTCTAATATTATTAAGTGACAATGGGTAGATAAAACACCATAGAAATACAGGGACTAGCGGATTTCTCTTCTCTGCTTGCTGCCCAGGTGTCTCAAAAAAGACCTGAAAGAAACATTTACCTTTCTGCAAGGAGGAGAGATAAATTCCTTGCCTGACAGGATTGTCTGCTTCATCTTGGAGATATTTACCTTGAGGCTGTATGGAGTAGTCTTTTTGACTATTGCTTATTACGACTCGGATGATTGAGATTAACGTGTCATTTCATACATCTCCATCACTAAATCTGGGTTGCTCGTTGGCTAAGATCAAAGAAATACCATCTCTCATTGTCCAGTTCCCCCAGTTTTTTAAGCACTGTTCAGCTAAAACATTTAGTTGTTATTCACTTTGATTTGTAGATCCAAAGTGCTGTGATATATATTAACTAAATATTACGAGTAAGAACTAGTAAAAAATGCATGATTAAATTACTTGTCAGGAATAAAAGTTTTAATCTTGCTAAGGACAGGTAGGAACTTAAGGTAGAAAAGATGTTCTTAGGAGGCTGGGTAAAAAAGGTTCTAATAATCCACAGGAAAAAAGTACAAAGAAAGTTTCAGTTGCTACATTTCATGGGAAAAAAAAGACTTTTTTTTTTCCCCATTTATTAGTCTATAGAGAACTGCTTTGCACAATGAAAATATTAATTAATATCACATTATTAGTAGTAAATTCCAGTTTTCAATGAAACATTCATTGTGAAAGAGCCATGTTTTGGGACAGTTTTGTTCAGTACTCTGACAAATGAAACCATTAAAACTGTATACAAGTGAGATATAACATGTGACTAGGATCCTCTGGTCTCATGCTATAATAGTTATTATATCGCCGTGTTTGGACTTGAGTGACCAAGTAAATGGGGGATTCATACCCTGTCTCATCACACATAGCCTGAAATGCTAGCTGAAATGCATCGCTATCCACCAAATTACTTTCATTCAGATATAATCTTGGATAGCTGGTAAAGCAGGGTTAACTTTAAATAATGCGTTTGGTGAAAACAGAAAAATGATTGTGCAATTTCTTGTTAGAAATTAGATTTTATTTGTGAATTTAGAAAAATGAATAGAATGAGTATAAAGAACAACTTTGAAAGTCACTTCTAAGTAAGTTTTACATTTTTCCCTTGAAGCAGTAGATGTAAACAGCTGGTGATAGTGAGTTGACTGTACTTTGCTTTCCTATGATACTTCTTTGAGCTAGAAATTATGATAAAGAATCATTTATTCATGATTCTTTGGGTGTAGAAACTGTTTTTCAAAATACTGATATTTTTCCTTTAAGTACTTTTTAAAGCTCTTGTTTTAATAATATTTTAAAAATATTTTTGTTTAGTCTTTTAAGATGCCATTTTAATATGTGTAAAGCAAGTATGTTTAAAATCGCCAATTTGGAAGTGCACATTGAAAGCATGGGTTGATAGGAATAGTGCCTGTGTAAGAGGAACTCACTTTTCATTTTTAAATGATGAAAATACTTTTGAGTTGCCTGATGAAGTTGGTGTAAGAGGAACTCACTTTTCATTTTTAAATGATGAAAATACTTTTGAGTTGCCTGATGAAGTTGATTGAGACAGTACATTCAAAGAAAATACAGTTTGTTCTGTTTATAAATTTAAAAAATATTTGTTTCTGGGTATTCTTATATGAAGACAGAGAAACTTTTGCTAATGTAAAAATTCACAGAAAGCAAAATTTGCAGTTAAAAAAAAAAAGTTGTAATGTGCTTACATGTTGATCATCAAATGTTTATATTATTTATTTCCATGCCTCGAAAGTCTTACAGTGTTAATATTTATAGTAACAGTTACTATGATATTTACAGTTTAATCTTATATTTTTAATTTTAATGGGTTTATTGTTTAATATGACTTTGTAATTTGTATATTCAAGAAAAACTTAACATTTTCATAATTGTTTCATGGAACTGAGCCTCTATTGAAAACTTCAGAGCATTCCACTCAGAGGCAGTTTTGTTTCTTATTGTTTATTTTCACCTCCCCTTAGGATACTGTAAGTAACCCAGCATGATTGATTGTGAAAGCAATTATACACAAATTCAAGGGAGATTTTATATTCTGGCCACAGGGTCGCATGGAAATCATTTCTGTCTTCCTTAGAATTTCACTTGTTCATTTTATTACATATCTGTCTCAAAGTCTTTATCATTTTAGTTCATCAGTGTGGAGCTAAGCATGATACAACATAGATGCTTTTAATGCCAATGTTCCCACAAGTGTATGTACTGGCTGCCTGGAGTTGGGCCTAATAGTTTATGTTTAACAATATTAATACCGATATCACACAGAGGTAGTGCTGTTGATTTTTTTTAAGATGCAATGTCCTTTTCCTCAGCACTGAACCAGTTCTGCAGTAGCTTAATTTGTGATTTGGTAAGGCACCATCCTTGAGATGAACCATAAAGTTGTGGCTTGGCAGCCCCTGCCCAATTCTTGACAATTTCATAAATGACATTTTCATAAATGCGGAGTATTAAACAGGGTAGCTTAACTGTTCAGCTACCTGAACTTCCCATACATTTTTAGCTTACTGAGGGTTTTTTCAGGTTTTTTCCTCTATTGAAGGAGGGTTATGTCTTGCCCTGACTGTGGGTGTTATTCCCTGAGTGGTGGGAGAGGGCACGTGAATTGTATCCGCTTCTAGATTGGTAAAATATTTTGGGAACTGTTCAGATGGGACTGTTACAAGTTTATCACTTTTGGTAGAGAGTAAAAGGAGACAGACCTTTTCCTCCAAGTGTCCTTAAAACTTACGTGAAGTATAGTAAGTTACTAACACATATGAAACGAGTAGGGCTTTTTAAATATTTTCTTAGTTTCTGTAAGGCTCTATACTTGTTGCTGAAGTCTAAAATTGTTTGCAGGGCCTAATCTGGTTTAAGTCTTTTGACTATGGGTGTTTGGGGTGTTCTTTTTTTCTGTGTTTTACCTGTGTTAATTATAATGAAGGATGTTAAAGGCAGAGAACAGGACACGCAACTGGCCTAATAATACTCTGTGGCAAGATTTTTCTCCATCTCCATCAGGACCCATCCTGTTGTAGTACTTATTTTTAAGACGGCAATGCTTCTTCACCAAACTTCCTCCTACAGTGAGAGAAGTAGGGATAACTCTTGGAAAAAGTTTTGAGGCTAGTGACAAAATATGTTTGTCTTTCAGATCCCCAGCTCAAGGGTATAGTGACCAGGTTATATTGCAGGCAAGGCTACTACTTGCAAATGCACCCCGATGGAAGTCTCGATGGAACCAAGGATGACAGCAGTAATTCTAGTAAGTGACTGCCCCAAGGGAATGTCTTAATCGCACACGCAGATTGCATCGCTCGAGTGTGTACGCGCAGACACAGTGTTAATGCCTTTGGAGGGTTTCTGAATGTGTTTTGTCGAAAGGAGGAGGGTTCTGTCCATTCGAAGCCTAATGACGGCCAGCACGGCTCATGCAGGACATTGGCCTAAATGTATTCCCTCTGAAGGGGAAGGCATAAGTGCTGATGGACCTCAGGGGTGAGATATTCAGGCCAATGGTTGTCTTCTGGTAATTTTATAAAAATGGTAAAATTATATTAAATTTTTTTTTATAAAAGCTATATATTTAACATAAATATCTTCAAATAAATAACAAAAAAAAAAGAGGTGGAAACAAAAATTCCTTGAAAAATCTGATCTGCCCTGATTCAGCAAAGCAAATAAGTGTATGTCTAATTATCAAAGTCCTGCTTAAAACCCATGAAGTACCTTGCTGAATTGGGGCTAAAGATCCTACAGTCCCTATACCAGCAAGAGTTCCAATGATTTTAAGAGAATTTCTGCCAGTGACTGCAACAGTGGCAGTTTTCAAAAATATTCCAAACAAAAGTGGTCTTGAAAGGCCGTGTGGGTCATTGCTTTAGTACTCTTTTCCTATGGTACTGCCACATATTTTCATTCAATGAGCATATATGCGCTTGATAACTTCAGCTGCAAATGATAATTAAGGAAACCTATGCTTACTCTAGAAAGAGCTGATTTTTAATTTTCTGTTTGGCAGAGAACATTTGTATTTTATTTATTTTAATGATAATGGCATATTTAACTAACATTTCTGTGTGATCATGAGGTCTATTTTAAGCATTTTTAATACAAAATATTTATTTTCTTATTATGCATATGTAAATAAATCTTTAGTTTCCTCAAAAAAGTTGGAATTAGGCTACAGAAATTAAGGGATTTGAGGTTTCTGCTTTACTTTGCTTAGGTCCCTGTTTTATCTGTTAATGCATGGCTGTCATTTTTAACACATTTCACCAACAAATAGCATGATCATCTTTTATTGTTCTATTTCTTTTTAGAATTGAGAAAAATAATTGATTAATCTATTTTGATGTGTATTTCTCTGCTTGTTTTCCAAGAGTTTTCCCCCCACCCCTGTTCCTTGTTTCTTTTCTTCCCTCAGTGTGTCCCTCTGTCATGCCCACTTCTGTACTGGACTAGATACTAAGACCTCATACAGACAAGATCATTATGGCTTTTTATAGAAGCTTTGCCTGTATGAGGTCCCAGAAATGTGTCTTAGAGTGCGAGTGTGTGTCTCTCTCTCACTCTGCTTCTCTCTCTGCCCATCTCCCTCTTATTTTCAGCTTCAGTGAGGAGGTGTGTATGACTGAAACAATTTTGGAATGTTTTAATGTTACATCTGGTTTTTTTTAATCTTAGAACTCTATGGATTTTGAATCTTTGCAAAACTAGACCGTAGTGCCTTACTTTCCTCTTTTTGCTGTTGTCAGCTTTACAAATCTTCCTTTTTTTTGCTTACTATGTCATTTTCCCTTTCTCTCCCTTCTTCACTGCCTTTCTGGATTTCCATCTGTCTGCCCATCTCTCTTATTCTTGTTGTTCCAAAATGCAGAATGAATATTCTATATTATAAATATTCTGAAATACAGAACTTGTCCAAACTCAACCAAATACCATATAGCAGTATGGCGTATTTTGGATAAATACTATTAGATAATATTGTGGTTTACTTCAACATGATTTTTAGGCTAAAATGAGTTTTTTTCATAAAGGGATTTTTTTTCTGTCTTTAACTGGTGTGATTCATTATTTGTTCCTTCACTAGTCCAATTTTACAATGTTGTTTTAGTAAAGACAGTTTAGACCATAAAGATGTAAAATTAATGTGTTTGCCAGGAAAGCACACAATCTCCACCTTAAGTTTTGCTAGTATATATGAATCAACACTATGTTGAGCTGAAAAAATTGGTCTATTTGGTATATTCATGAATATATGAATATGGGTCTTTCTTTCATGCTGTCAGTCTTTCTCTTCAGTTCTTTTCCCTTTCCACTCTGTTTCCTTCCATTTCCTGTTGAATGTTTTGTTTCCTATTGCTTTTCTTTATTGCAGCATATTTTGTTTTTCCTTTTCTCTTTTACTTTAAAACAATAATTTTCTCATGGATAGAATTCCTAGTATTTTGATCTTTTATTTTGTGAGCTCCTTATCATGATAATTTCTGCCTGAGGCTTACCAGTAAATAAGTTTTGGTAGCTGCCAGAGGGGGAAAATCCTGCTGGGGGAAAAATCCTGCTTCTGACCATGGAGCTTGCAGGCTGCCTATTTAAAGTGCCCAGTGGGCGAAGGGATGGACATATATTAGCTGTCAATAGGACAGATAGTATGCTTACCTTGATAGTGAGGATGACATCCGTTTGAAGTGTGTTTCATAAAAATGGAGGAAATACAGACTGCCAAAGGGTGTGCATCTCTGCCAGCCTTCCACCTGTCTTCTGCACTGTTCACTGTCCCTGAAGCCTGTGAGAGTCCTCCTCATGCACTGACCATCTGAGTAGCTGGGTGTCAGAGAAGCCAGAGTGAGTGAGTAGCGAGGGACAGAGAAGTGATTTCTTTTTTGTCTTCAGCAAGGAAACTGAAGCTCAGTCATGATGCTACTTTTTGTGCTGTTGCAATCTATTCTGTGTCATGCAGTTAGAGGAGTGCTTGAAGTTAAAATTCCCTCAAGTGCATATATCATTTTGTACTCATTTTATATGTATGTCACTAAATATAAGCTACACACTATTGGAGTCACAGTGTTATAGAGAGGTAGCACAAAGTAAGATTAAGATGTAGTCTGTTCAAATTGAGTGGTTCTGTTCACACCCATTTTTCGTTTGTCTTTAAAGCTTCTTGGTAGTCTTTTTAATGTGACTTTTTGCTTCTATCTGAAGTCAAAATGAGTTTTACCAGTGGTTTCGGTCAGCGGCTGTAGTGCAAGCCATTCTCCCCACTCGCCTCAGGTTTGAGTATGCAGAGATAGGTGGCAAGATTTTTAATGTATCGCTGCGCACAAACCTTGCATGAAAAAGGAAGAAAGATGTGACTGCTTGTAATTACATCCCTGCACGTACTTTTGTCTGCTCATGTTGGTGGCCATGCTATTAGAACCCAACGTAAATAGACTGATGGGTTTCAGTTCATTGTTGTAATTTCTTTTTATATCTTTTCCAAGTTAGTGGTGTTTTGTGACAGAGTATGAATAAATGCACCTATTGGTTAATGGTGCTGAGTTTCCTTCAATCACATCACCAGATCAAGGCTGTTAGCTTGTGTGTACAGTCTGTATTTTTTTGCCAAACTCTCAATGATATGTGAAAGAGGCTTTATTACATTGCTTTTCTTGTTTTAGCTGGTTTTCTCTTTTTCCTTCCTCTAATGTCTTACAGTTTCTGGTTTGTTTTTGTGGCTTGCTTGTAGTGAAAGCAGGAGTGACTGTGGTTAAAGCTGTAGGCTTGGTTACTGAGGTCCTACTCAGCGTAGCTGTCCCTCTCTAGTTCTGATTTTCCTGGATTTTACAGCAGTTCTCAGGTGTGAATGGAACTTGCTTCAGTGTTGTCCATGGGCCTCATCATTATTAATTACGAAAAACAAGCTACTACACAGAAACTATAAAGAAATAGAAGAGATTTCCATGTTGTGCTTGTGGTAACAAGCATTACATTGCCCTCCTGTCCTCCTCCCCACCCAAATTGGCTCATTTTCAGGCTTTGGTCTATCTTCAAAGTTTTGTCTCATGAATGAAGGGTAGGTTTAGTAGGAAGACTAATTAATTTGGGAAACAGGCAGTTCTGATTCTTTAATTTCTGAGATTGAAACCCTGAATCTCTTAGCCCTATGGCTTATTTTGATTCACCTGAAGAGTGTATCTCAGCCAACAACCACTAAAAAAATTCAACATAAATTATGATACTTTCCTTGATAACCAGATAAACCTGATTTTAACACTAAAATGTTGCTATTATTTGTGTCCCTTATGAAATTACAGTCATGTTTAAAACAGATTAAAAGAGCATTACTCATTTGTAGCCTTATTTCATAAACGGATAAATGCCAAAGTTAACATTACCCAAGCAGCTTTGATTTGGCTGTGCCGTGCACATCTCTTGCTTAATTATGCAGTAACAGGCTTTACTTCTTTCATGGCACTTGGTACCTCATGGAGCTGCTGTTCAAGAAATCATGCAACCATTTAACATTCCTTTATTTTCATCTTGTAATGCATGCTCCTAATGCTCTATTTATATCTTCCAAATCGAATATGGTAGTATTAACTTTTTAATGTCTTCTGAAGTACCTACCACTATAATATTTTTGTTTGAAAATATTAATAAAATAATCTTCACAGCACCCTTGTAAGGTGAAGGAGATAATTAGACAGAAATAAAGCACATGAAGTTTAAAAAACAACACCAGCAATGCTGTTAAATTTGGATTACTGAATGTTAAATTTGGATTGCTGAACTGAAATATTTGCAGTCTGATTTTTGCACAGTTTTTTACTGAAGTTTGCCTTCAAAGTATTACACAGGCATTTAGACATCTATTTACATCACCTTTGGGAGTTAGGCAAGCCTGTTTCTCCCATCAGTATAATCTTAGTCAGTGTGACAGGATCAATGGAGGCCATGTTCAGCCATACCAAAAAGTACGTTTTAATTATGTCTTGTGTAACATCAGGCAGTTAGAATGGGTTTGCTCCATAAGAAATTAATGGACAGATCTCTGAATACCAACCTCCCCGCACTCATTGCCAATCTAAAAGATGTTCTGATGGAGTCGTCATTTTTGCCTGTAGGCCTGCAGATGGAAATAAATTAAATAAATAGTTGCCTTGATCTGATTGCAGATTTTGTGCTGTGGGAAGTTTTGTTAACTGACACCAGGGCAGTGCACGTGCAGAACAGACAGCAAGTTTATAAGCCTTGAGCAACTGGTCTCTAGCAAGCTTCTTGAGAAAAAACAGTGATCTCTAATAGCAATTTTCTTGTAGCGACAATTCAGTCGTACCTAAATAGACTTTCACAAGGATATGGAAATATCCGATTTCAGGCATTTCAGATTTCAAGTTAATAGACCATGATGGTATTACATAAGAAAAGGAAAAAGAACTGTGGTGGTTTTGTGTTTTGCCCAAGGAAGGAGTTATTATTTATCAAAAAGTGAACTTTGGCTAAAACTTTTCGAGGATTAGAATCCAATTCAAATTTGTTCCTGCAAATCCCCTCCATGACATCTAAAAGAATAACTTTTTTCATGCCAGTTGTTCCTGTTAACTGCCCCCTGCCCCCATTTTCTGATCTTGTGTTTGGTGGGAGTAGGCTTGCAGGCTTAGGAAAAGGAAGAGAAACCATTTGCTTTACAGTTGTGGTTTAGATGGAATACAAAGCAGAGCTAAGGGAGCGTGCACAGGCTCGGTGCTGACAAGGAGAAAGGGTTTTACTCGCACCATTTTTGCGGATTGGTTCACCTGATTTCCCTGATGTTCCCACGTCTTATTTACAGTTGGATTTGCCAGGCTTTATACTTAAGCGTGCAGCACGGGAGCACTGAGCACCAGGCAGAATTATATTTCCTGGGCTGTTCCAGGGTGCTGCCTCCTCTATCAGCTCATCTGTGGACTCACCGGGCTGGGTTTAGGTACATAAAGATGTTCAGGGACCTCACTTAGTTTTGGTTTTGGATCATTGTCTTAAAGATGGAGGGAAGCTGGGGGCACGGTTCTTTTTCACATCCCCCTCGGGTAAGGGCATAGCTTTGGCTGTGCAGACCTGAAATGCCAGCAAATTCTGCAAGGCTTTCTGCTTTTCTCAAGGCGGATTCTTATTAGAATGGGGGATAGCACAAGTGAATCCTAGGAAGGTTTGAAATGTGTAATTGAGCACAGAATTCCAGCTCAGCAAAGAGTACTGCACAGCCAGATTCTGGAGGAAACTGAATTTCGTTCAGCCAGCTTCAGAGCACGTAAAAACCACATGCTGTGCCTTACTCTGGTGCATGTTTTGCTGACCTCAGTATGAAGCACATTGCTGAGCGTTTATCAATCAATAATTGTAGACTGGCCTCCCTAGTTTCACCCAAGTCTGAAAGATTTTGTGGAAATTACTGAATATTCTGTATGTGCAGAATTACAGCATTTCAGATCACACTCTAAAATTTTATGATCTTAGACTAATTACAGGAGCTCTGACAATCTCCGATTAAAACTTGGTGGCAGTAAAAGATACATTATATGCCCTCTTCGGTGCTTTCTAATTTCACCAGCAACTCTAAGCTGCTCTAGTAATTTTATAGGTTGCATAAAACACTGCCATGTTACAGGCCTCTAATTCTCCTTCAGTGGTGATTGTTTTTTTCCTAGCTTTGCTGCTTTATTTTTCTTGGTAATACAGCAAATTATATCTATGTTCCAGAAGTTTTGACTGAACCACTATGATTTGGAGTTATTTTTCATTAGCAGTTTTCCATGGCTGACTCGTCTTTTGTGTTCACCTCTTTTCTTTATACAAGTATTGTTTGTTTTTCCTTCCTGGTGTCCCCTCAATTGTTGCTGCCCTCCCTCTAGCATGGTGTTCATATTCAAGTTTCCTCCTGGAATTTCTTTTCTTCTAGAAAAAAACAAGCTTAACTGCCATCTGAAACGAAGTTTTGCTGTGACAGACTCCTCCTCCACCATCCACAATAGTGGTTTAGCTGGTTTTGACATTTTCATTTGAGGGCAATGGCTGATTTTTTTTTAACTTCCAAATTTTATTGAACATCTGAAAGACCTCAAGTCATGCAGTGTTTAGCCTGTATACTCTTAGGATATCTTGTCTGTGAGTGCCACATTTCACTGGTTTACATTTATCTTGGATCAATTAGAGAGGGAACCTTCTCTGCATGCAGTATTTTTCTATTGAACAGCCCAGTAAGATCCTAGCATGATGGAGACTTTTGGAAACTACAGAAATGAAAATGCTATATATTTGTGCTAATTCTTGTCTGATGTCATCTCTTCTATTCTTCTTTGTAAACCCATAAATTTGTTTTCTGTTCTTCCAGTGCTCTTCTGAATATATTTTTCTTTCTACAGCTATAGGAAGTGCTCTGCTACAACAATTCCCAGCTTTATACTGGCTTTGTATGTTCCTAAAAAGATCTTACGTTACATATTCTTTTTCTGTGTGACAATGTTGAAGGAAAGGGGTTTTTTTCCATTCACTTCTATCTTTAAATTCTAGTAGTCAACCTATGTTTTTTCTCAGTTATAAGGATTTGATCATCTTCATCATAAATAGTCTGTGGCTTTGTGTCCTTTGACCAACCAGGATTTTTCACACCTTGAGAAAATGTACTTATCCACTGCAATTGCATGAGCCTTTTTCTCTTGATTTGGGCTTTGCCCCTAGGATTCTGATTGCAGATAGCCTCATACGGTACACTTTCTAGTCACACCTATGGATGTCCTTCCTAAATTTTGAGGAACTCACTGTAGGTGTTACTGTGTTCCTGAGACCTGGCTTGGTGAAACCATGGTCCTCACTGCATATGTTGAACACACAGGTTGTGCTTTGGTTTTCATCCAAGGACTTGTGAATCCTTGACTCATCCACAGCGGAAAAACACTTAGCATGAACTCTGGCTCATCCAGATCTTTTCTTCCAAGACTGTTTGATGTGTGCTTTGCATCTGATTTCCTAGTATGAGTCAGTAAACTTAGTATAGGTGCGTGCTGGCATAATTTTTAGAAGAAGAATTGGTCTGTGTCTCCTACTTACATCACTTTTTCTTTTGTTGTTCTGTGGTGAGGCTGGTAAACTCCTGCTCTTCACACTGGTCTTTTTCAGACACTAATCAAAGCTGTGGCTGTTTTTATTATTACAGAGGTATATACCATTGCTAGGGTATCTGCTATTAGCTGTTTTTTTGGTTTTGTTTTGGTTTTTTTTTCCCCCAGAATTTCAGTCTTTGAGCATGTTGTATATTCAGCTTAATAGCATTTATGCACATTTAGAGTCAAGCACATATTTCAGTGCTTTTCTGAACTAGGGTAAGCCTCTGCCATTACCTGAGGTCTGTGTACTACTGCTTGTATCAAATATATCATTCACAAAAGCAAAACATTATTTTTGATTTGAAATCACAGACCCCTTGAAAGCAATCTTTAATGAGAGTACATCTTAATCCAAAACCATAAAAATGCCTAAATAAAAAGCTACTTACCAGAATCAGATATATATGTTTTCTGCAGGGTATCTCACAAGTATTACCCTTATGATCAGTTTACATTGATGACGGAACTGTTGGGCTCTTTGACTCTTTTCAGATTGCCTGAGATACTCATGTCTGCAGTGCTGCATAGATGATTACAGTCCAGTCTACTGTGCTTTGTATTTGCTAGTTAGCACTTCTGCCAAATACTGAACTATTGGAGGACTTATTGCTAGATACTTAGGCTTTAATTTTAAGGATTAACTTTACTAGAAACAAGTTTTTCTGAATTAGTTTAATTTTAAAATCAGAAAAAAATATACAGGGAGTAGTTTTCTTTCTTTTTACTAAGGATGTTTATTAGACTATTTTAATAACCATAGTATATTCATATCTGGTCATGTTTTTTCTTCACAGCATTATTCAACCTTATACCAGTGGGACTTCGAGTTGTTGCTATCCAGGGTGTAAAGACTGGGTTGTATATAGCCCTAAATGGAGAAGGTTTCCTCTACACATCAGTAAGTACCTTGTCTGAACTCTGTTTAAGAGGCACAGCTGAAGTTGAAATCTACGCAGGAATGAGATGCATATTCACTTTTAAGAAGTTCTATAATGTCTATATATGTATATACATATAGTACACACACCTGTGTACTCATGTATGTATGCAGCATATCTATAAATGGGATACAGTGGAAATTACTGTGTACTAGGTGTGAAAGTCTGCGTGTTAGCAGTCCTAAAAAAACATTCTGTAGAGCTCTTTTTCTGGTAGGCTATACTGGTAGTGTGCATACATCACAAAGATCATTATTTTCAATTAAATTCTCCAGAATTTTTAAAGAAAGACCTGCAATTATTTTCTTAGTGACTTGTTGATCAGAATTCAAAAGCTGCACCAACAGTTACTTTTATTGATAAGACTTACAAGTGTAACTTCCATGTAAAAAGTCATTAACAACCTTACGGTTTATCACCATAATCTTGTAATTGTATGCTTAGAATTATTGATTTTTTTATTTCAGATATCAGGCAAATAAAGACTATTTCTTTGTAGAATGATGAAAGTTTAAGAAAAAATCTTTTGAGTCACAAAGAAGACTGCTGGATAAAGGGATCGGAAAGTCCTCAGATTGTTTAAGATATTCCAAATGATTTCATGCTAATCACTCGGTGTGTTGTGAATATAAAAATCCTCAGTTTTGTGTAAATTTAGTGTCTTAACCTCCTTTGAAAAGCAAACAGACTTCAATATGAACAGGCAGTTCTGTCAGGTATTAACAAGGTGGCTTAAAGGATTTTTCATTACTATATTTTTATTGCCGTCTATGTTGAATTTATTTACATAGTGCTTTTTCCATTTTTTACGTCACGTAGTTCTTAATTCCCCACTGAGTTACAATACACTGCTTTGTTTTCAATGTCCGTTGAAAGGAAATTGGACAGATTAAGTTTCTGATGCCCTGAGGGAAAGTATTCTGTTTGTTTCAAATATACAATTGTCTTGGAAAAGCTAATTAGGAAGAAAAAATGGAACTAATCTTGAATGTCAATGTCAAGACAAAGAGAAAATTCCTTCTCATAAAATGTCTGCTGAAAACTCTGGCAGTATGACTGAGAACATTTATTTTCTCTGTTCAAAATGAAAAATTCTGTCACAGGAAAACATGCAATATTTCCTGTCAGAAGGAAGAAAACTAGAAGAAAAAACCTAGAGCTATTAAAGAAAATGCATTGTGGACTTCCCAGTTCCATCACATCATTTCAGTAAGATGGCATGAACAGTACTTTTTTAATATGTTGGTACATTTAAGAGTACATTCTTGCCCAGCACTGTTTCTGAAATGAGTTCTCAGGCCTTCAGAAAGAAATATAAATTTCAGAAAATATACCAGTTTCCTGATGGGTAGTTCTGCACAGGGAGGGACCCTACATGAACAAATTCTGGCAGCCACTGTGTTTATGTATTATTCTGGAAATGGTCCAAGTCAAATGAATGGTGTCATCTGGGCAAGGGAAAGGAGTGGAAAGTACAAGGCAAGATAAGAAGAGATGGCTGGATCCAAACTTTTAATAGATGTGAACCGAACCCTTAGAACATCTTCAGGTCTAACAAGATATTTCTGTCACACCAGTGAGAATCTGAATTGCTTTGTTCCTATGTCTTCCTTTTGAGCAACACAGATTACTTGGGTTGTGATCAGTCTCATGGATATCAATAAAAGATTATGTATAAGGAAAATGTAATCCACGTGTCTAATGTTTTGCAGGATTGCATATACTTCATTGCCACTAATGGCAAGATTTTTGGACTTGATGACTTCATATATTCCTGTAGTTATTGGCAACTTGTTAAGTACTTCTGAATTTTGTTCTGTGAATGTTGTTATGTTTTGAGTGTATTATTTGACTTAAAAGTTTCTTGGGAGAGTGTCTCAATCTGTCATTTTACCTTGTGAGAGGTAAGGAAATGAGTGTTTTTGGAACGTACAGCTTACTCTTCCTCGTGCGGAGAGTGGAAGATGAGTGGCCCATTAGGGGACACAGAGATGTGACACATTAGAAAACTCAGTGCAAGCCTTTAGTTTTGGTATGTCTACAAAATGATTTTCAACTTAAACTTTTGTCAAGTTGAAAAGTAGTAATATTTGGTAATCTAATGCAAATTTAAAGGTAGTGATTTCAAAACATCAGTGCTGTAATACAGGTTTGGTTGTTTCATGTTAATGTATTGAAAACATTGACAATACATTTTTGTCTTAGCAATTGCCTGCTTTCAGCTTAGAGACTAATGCATTTGAAAATAAGAAGACAAAGCATCAGAGAGAAGTCTTTCTTCTCCCTGAGGATCAAGATGAAGAAATACTGCATGCAGAATATTTTAAATGCTGTCGTTTGTAGAAAAATATTTTTAACCAATCACTTTCTATTACTGTCTTATTGGTGGCTTTTTTTGACTCTTTGTCACAGTTGTGTATGTGTCGCACCTGCAATGCAAAAGTTCTGTATTACATGTCATATATGTTTTTCCTGTGGCTATTCAGGGGAGGATGGGAGAAAAAAAAGTTTTCTAAGTTTCGTATGCCAACTGTCATCATTGAAAAGAAGTGCCACATAGTGGGAATGTGAGTTAAAATTTACATATATTTAGATATATTACCAATTTCTTATAAACACCTTAAAAAAATGGAAGCATGCACTATAGACTAAGCAGCATTTAGTCTAAGTTGAGACCGAAGTCCTCTATAGTCCTTCTCTGCAGAATACCTCAGTATCCCTTTTTCCATTCACAGTATATGAAATCCGTAGCTTGTGAGAATATCCTATGTGTTGATGCCTCTCTTCAGAGATTGAAGACCCCATCTCAATTATTTATATCATAAGCTTCACATGATGTTGACTAATTAAGCAACAACACTGACAGGAAAGGTATCATGTGTGATCCTGCTTCCTCTGATATGAAGCATTCAGTAAGAGGAAAATGAAGGTACAGTGACAGACCAGTTTTACATAAAGATTATCAAATGCAGATTTGCATTGTTTTGTTGCTTTTTAAAAAAAATCTTTTTTTAATGGCTGTTTGTGTCAGTTTGGAAGTCTTGTTTTTTCTTATTTTATTCTGTCATATTTAAGATTTTTTCAACTAATTCAGAGAATTAGAACTAGGAAAAAACTGCAGAAATATCATAGAAGAGTGTTATGGCAGTATTTCTTTCTTAGAAATAGGAGGACATTTTTTAGGGAAGTCAGTCTCAAGAGCTTTTCATACCTATTTTGCCTGCTGCAGCAGTTGAGATTTGTATTCTGTCCTTTGGGGACTGATCGAGTCAGGGTCCCTAACACACACCATCAAAGCCTTGTCAAATAAAGGAGAAGCAAAATCTTTGGAGTTTGATACGACTTTGCAGAATTCCTGAGAGAAAATACTCTTCCAAAATTATAACCTTATTTTTCAATGCATTTAAAGTAATTATTGTAATACCATGATTTGTTATGTTCTATCATATAAAATATGAGAACAAGAGCCTTTTCATATTCAGTTTTTTCCTTGCACTTTTAAGGGTTAGCCCACTTAAAGACTATCCATGAAGCTCACCTTTTTTTTAAGTTTTGTTCTATTGCATCCAACTTTATTTCTGTGTGTGTATGCATACCTATACTTATATATGTATATCCATATATATCCACTCATAATTAGGATATATTTATTTAGTGACAGTTTCCCAATTCTAGGTGTATGTTAGTGAGCAATGAGAATTATAAACTGAGTTGAAATTTATTTTAGATGAATTAATGAACTGTGAATAATTCAGTATTTATGACTGACTTCATCACTGTGAAAGCTAGTTGTAGAAGCTGGATTTTTCCACAAAGAACCATCTCAGTTACTAGCAAGATTTTTGACATAATAGCTATGGACTTCATATGTTAAAGTCCAAAAATATGCCTTACTCCTATCTCACCTTTGGAAAGGGTGGGCAAGATCAGGTTTTATTTCCAGGGTTGAACCTGTCAAAATCAAAAGGACTGGAACTGGCTCCACGCACTGAAAAAATGAGCACAGCCACAGGGATTCTCCATGGGGAACAGGTATTGCCGGCAGCAGGAAAGTGGCAGCGCAGTACATGGCAGAAGCTTTTGTTGGTTTTGATGCTAATTTTGGTCAACTCACTTTGCAAAAGGTTCATTAGTTCAACTTTCAGGGGGGCTGCAGCTTCTTGTTTTGCTTCTAGGACTTTCTGCTGTCATAACAGGATGAACTCAGAGGTAAAACTTATAATATTGTCGTGGTTTAACCCCAGCTCTAAGCACCACGCAGCTGCTTGCTCACTCCCCCCTGGTGGGATGGGGGAGAGAATCAGAAGGGTAAAAGGGAGAAAACTTGTGGGTTGAGATAAGAACAGTTTAATAATTGAAGTAAAATAAAATAGAACAGTTAAATAGGTAAAGCAAAAGCTGGGCACACGAACAAAGCAGAACAAGGAATTCATTCGCTGCTTCCCACGGGCAGGCAGGCGTTCAGCCATCCCCAGGGAAGCAGGGCTCCATCACGCGTAACCATTACTTGGGAAGACAAATGCCATCACGCCGAACGTCCCCCCCTTCCTTCTTCTTCCCCCAGCTTTATACGCTGAGCATGACGTCATATGGTATGGAATAACCCTTTGGCCAGTCGGGGTCAGCCATCCTGGCTGTGCTCCCTCCCAGCTTCTTATGCACCCGGCAGAGCATGGGAAGCTGGAAAGTCCTTGACCAGTGTAAGCACTACTTAGTGACTATTTAGTAACAGCTTAGCACTACTTAGCAAGAACCAAAACATCAGTGTATCATCGACATTGTTCTCATCCTAAACCCAAAACACAGCACCATACTGGCTACCAAGAAGAAAATTAACTCTATCCCAGCCAAAACCAGGACAAATATGTTAGTCCATTTTATGATTCCTATTTTCCTAAGGTGAGGATATGATAGTCTTCTTGGACTATATCAATGAATTTCTCTCAGGAATTACTTGATG